TACTAACTTCTGAAGGGAACGTGCTAGAGTCTTGAAATTTTGTGGGGAGCTATCTAGTAAGTATTCACTTATACCTACAAAGTTTCATTGAAAAGTGAGGATCCTAAAGCGTATAAGTCAATGACCCATGAACACTATATTTTTTACAATTTTTCAGGTTCCGTTCCAGAAACATTGTGGACTTCCCGACGCCACGAAAACGATTTTTTTTCTTAAAAGAAACGATGTCACCCCATAGCGGCGAATCTGGAGAACAAGTTTTGAAAGACAAAATTTTTTTCTAAGGCTTCATAAGAGTAGGGGACGAGGTAAGAACTACTTTTCTCGCAAACATCAAAATAGCTGGAAAAACCAATTTTTTCAATTTTTGAAAATTTTATAACTCAGCCGAAGAACATCCAACCCGCGAAATATTTTAACCCTAGACCCTTGGGGTCTAACCCTACAAACTGACAAAATTTGAGGGCATGTTAGGGGGGGGGGAACCCCCCCTTAATGAAAGCCAGTTTTGACTAGAAATTTTTTTCTATTACAGAGCGAAAATGAATCGAACCGAACTCGAACTGATTTTTCAGAAGTGTATTCGAACCGAACTTGATTCAGAAGAATACAGTTCGGTTTGCTCTGTTTCCTACAATATATGAGGAAATTTCAATGATAGTTTTCTCTTCGTAGATACTATTATTTAATAACTACACGTAATATAAAATATTGAAGCGTGTAAAAAATAGTTCGAATGAATTATAACGAATATATGTTGTTATTGCAGGTATTATGTCATATTTGGATGACAAAAGGTCTGACATATACAAAGTCATTCTTACTGGGAATTGGGGTGTCTGTGCGACAAAATCAGTAATATCGAAAATGTTATCCAAACAATATTCAGGATTAGGCACTGGGGCATTATGTCGTTTGGATTCAGAGGGTCTTGTGAAACTGCAACCAATCTATGCATATATGGATGGCGAAAAGTATAAGATTGCAAACGGTTATTTGAAAATGGTGCCGGATGATAGTGGTACAAATCGTCGAGCGTTCATGGGTAAATTAGCAGGATACGAAGTTACTGTAGCAAGCTATCTGGAATCGTTTATTGATCGATCAAAAATTAAATTCGATCCATCATGCAATAAACCACTGATTTATACATTAACGCGAGAAAATGATATTACAGCATCAACTTATTTTTTCTCACCTTATTTTAAAGAAATTATTGAATCTTTTACTTTGTATAAGGAACGTCTACAAGTCGATACACATTCCCTTTTGTGCAATCCTCACAAGGAGCGTCCAATCCATATGAATAGTAAAGGTTCGTTTAATATGCACTCTAACAACAGATTCGAAAAATATTCTTGCTAATCTAGTAGACAAAAAATTTTTTCTATAACTTCTGCAGCTTTATTTTGATACTTGTTTTTTTGATTACGATATTAAAAATTTGGCAAATGAATATATAGGAAATGTTTAGATGCTGGAGTATTAAATGTTATTATTCTTTTTTTTGTAGCTAAAGATGCATTTCTTCTTGAACAGCAACAATTGCGAAGTAGAGCATCAAAAAAGCTCAAAGATCAATTAGGTGAACCACCAGTGGTCAACAGCAAGCTTCGTTCAGGCAGTCATAGTAAAAACAAACACACAACTGGATAATCTCTTTTGGGTGTTTATCATTTACTTTGTTCACATTATTTTTCTATCTCTTCTAGTCATCCTATTAGCATATGGAAAAAACGTTCTATTCATTTTTTTAAAGTTTAAGACTGCTAAAGTAGATTTTCTTTTCTTTATTAAATTTTGTTTCATTTCTGCTCTATTGTTCTTTACCTTGTTGGTTATTATAGCTTTTTGCTATATATATTACTGTACTTTCTTTTGTTCATCATTGTGATTTTTGTGAAACAGTACGCTTTTTTTCTTTCAGGATTTTTGTTAAGATGAAAACTGTGACCTTTAGTTGTCACAAACATAATTACTGTTTAGCAAGTAATTATCTTCGTATGTTTGATGATTCACATTTTCTTCTTCATAATACTTATATTCCTTTTTTGTTCTCATTTATTTTCTCATAGATATTGCTGAACAATATTATTCTTGTTCTTTTTTGTGAGCTAAGTTAAAGGACCATTGAACAAGAATAAAGCGATGAACAATAAACTTAAAATAATAAGAAATGAAAATTATTTTTCATTATGAGTAATGAAGAATGGAATAAACGAAGAGTAGGCAGATTTATAGCCAATAGACCAGTTTTACCGGTTTCCCTCACTTTCTACGGATGTAGATGAAAAGAAAAAAAGGCATATGCTTGCGTCTACAATAAGAAAGAGAATTTGGTAAAGTCGGTTTACCGTTATTAACTCGGAGATAAAGTTGCTATCGAAAGTATCGTACAATATCGTATACGATTTCTATGTTTATTTTTATCAATTTGTGCTTCCTTTTTAAGATAAAGTTTTTCTTCTTCTTTTTCAAAATGCAAATGGCTACTGCTATTGAAATTGATAATTTATCATCAATGATTCAAGATCTTGGGATAGAAGCTTTTATGATCGTAGCACGATTGGACGCTATTTTTCAACCTGTACCAACAACTCCACGAACACTTCAGTTCTATGATAAAGTCGAAATTTTTACTGGTATCTTGAATTTCCATTTAGCTCCAAAGATATTCGTTATAAAAGATGTTGAGTTAACCTTAAATCTTATCGAATGTAACCGTTCAATTGTTGAGCGGCTTCTTAATTTTCCTTCACTGAGTGATATTATTCGAAAATTTAAAGAATATGGAACAATAACATCACAACAACTCAACATGGTTAATCCAAAAGTCCTCAGGCCATTCACAAGTATCTGTATTCAATGCAAAAAAGTATTAACTGATTATGGATTTGCTTATTCTACTCGAGTACTTTATATTGATCGAATTGAAGAAGCGTCTGTTATTCATGCACACTGTAAGCCATGTCACTTGAAGTATAGCTGTTCGAGTGTTGAACAATGTGGCATGAGTAAGTTAGCTTCACATTATCTGTTGGATGTTTTTTGATATATAGAATAAGAACAATAAATTGGAAAAACGAGTTTCTTGAGTAGCATCTGTTTAAAAGAATCACAAAGCAGTGATGAAAATAAACTAAGAAACACCAAAGGATTATCTGGGAATAAGATTTATCACAACATTTTGATCACTTCCTATATACCTTTTTCATCAATAAAATTTATAACTTTCCATATTTATAGATCTGTCTCAATACTTTTAATACTATACTACCATATTCTTCATAAATTTTAGACTATCGAGTTGTTACAAAAGAATCACTCAATTTTTCTGATTGTATTCATTTTTCTGGTGATTTGGCTTATTCAAAAGTCCTTCTGCATTGGCGCTCTTCTCTACTCATCGACGGTGATTCAACTTTTACAGGATTTTGTCGTTCTATCATTAATACATTATACGAACTTTATCCATCTTCTGCCAATTTCATTAGTCCAAATGCTTTATCACAACGATTTGAAATAGTATATATTTTATGGGAATTAGCTCGATTTGAGTTGATGCTTGGAAATGAAGGACAAGTGCTATTACCATTGTCATTATCACCAGCATCAAGGGCAAGCTTTTTGGAAGGCTTTCTAGATTATTATTATTCATTATTTGTATTGTTCTGGTCACGTCATCAATATGTTCCTAATACAAAGTGTGATAAACAAATATGTTCAAAAGTAGCACTTTGTGATGGTCATCAAAAATGTGGTCGTATCGTATGTGCTTACTCAGACATTGTAGATGCTTCTATCGTCGAGACCGGTCCAATTAATGTTGGTTGTCCTTATGCACCAATGCGACGACGACATCAAATACAAAATCAGCAGGAAAACAGCACGAAAAATCAAATAAAAGGTAAAAATGAAGAGTTGCTTTTCCTTCTACAATTGTTTCATAATGAAGAATGAGTAGCGAATGTGGATGCTAAAATAATCATTCACTATGCATCATTTTTATCCGAATCAATAGAACAATCTGCATTTGAAGTCTATTCATTGAACTAGATAATAAAACATATTGACTTGTGGAATCTTTATATAATTTACGTCACGTAGCATGTCAAATAGTGAAACTTTTATAATTGACTTGCTGTGTGCAACAATAATGTACGCTTCATCAGTGAAGACTCATCCGACTTATACATAAAAGTCTGGAGCAAAAAAACTAAACATGATATCCTAATTATAAATATAACTAGTATTTTTCGTGTCGGAATATAAAAACAGAAATCACTTTTTTAGGCAGTTGTATACGTTGCAACAGTAATCGGGAAAGTGCTATCGTAGAATTTTTTCTTTGTTTAATTTTCAGATCATTCTGCTCTGTATTGTCCAAGTAATCAGTCATTCACCAATATCGTTCTTCCTCAACAATCAACCGAATTATATAAACTAGCTCATGAACTCGATCAAAAAGATCATAACTTTCTTCAACACAATACACAATGCAATGTTTATCGAGATGACTTAGACGATATTCACAAGAATAAAGGTTATGGAGTTCTAGTTACATTCCTATCTTGCCAAATCGTTATAGGTTTTGATGAGAGAATTCGTGCCGAGGGCATGAGGCGCGTTACACGCCATTTTCTCAGAATGCTACAACGAAAGGCAGAAATGCCAAATGATCTTGTCTACGATTCAGCCTGCACTCTTCGTCTTCATTGGCATCGACATATGGGAACTGCTTTTCTTCAGCGATCACAACATACTGAAAAATTGATTAACATGACTGTCGTTATTGATCGATTCCACATGAAGAATCATAAGCGTCAAATGTGCCAAGGAGAGATGAAGGCCGACCATCCCATTCACAATGGTAGGTTCGATGGAATTAATACAGAATTATGTGAACAGTATTTTAATTATTTATCCCGTCTCAAAGCTTCACTTCGAAGTTTTAATTATCCAGCATCGTCAATTTTTCTTCTTCTTTTGTTCCATCTAAGAAACTGTTCAAAGAGTGGCATATCAGCATCAAGCATTGGCATTGCAAAATCATTCATAGTCTTCGACATGTTTCCAATACGAAAAAGAATGAACTCATTAAGTCAAAATGAACATATAGACGAGCATGATGCTCCAGATGTATGGGGTGTCTCAAATGACTACACCTAAAAAAACAATAAACTGTTATCCTCACAGAACAGATTTTTTTAAATAAATTCCATTAGGACTCCTACTGTTTCACTTGAATTTCAAACAGATCCAATAAAAGTACTTTTACACTAACACTTAACTGAGTAAAATCCTGCTCCGAACACCAAAACATTATAGCTACAGTCGCTCACCAAAACAAAGTGCACTAAAGAGTTTCTCGTATTAGACTTTTCGAAGAGAATCCCCGTTAAGTATGAGTAGCAAAGTAATTGGCCTATCAAAAAGGGCGTGTTCCTTCAGATCTATAGATTAGGACGTACAGATTTGGGCATATAGATTTCGACGAATAGATTAGGATGTCTAGATTTGAACCTATACATAAGGACGTAGAGATAACGACCTATAGATTTGGACGTATGGATTAGGATGTAGAGATTAGGACGTATGAATTACGACGTATACATTAGGACGTAGGGATTAGAATGTCTAGATTGGGACCTATAGATTAGGACGTATGGATTAGGACGCATAGATTTGGACATATGAATTAGGACGTATAGATTTAGACGTATAGATTAGGACGTAAAGATTACGACGTATAGATGGGGACGTATGGATTAGAACGCATAGATTTGGATGTATGGATTAGGACGAAAAGATTTGGACGTACAGATTACCACGTCCAGATTTGGACGCATGGATTAGGAAGTACAGATTGGACGGCTACATCTGAACGTATAGATTGGGACGTATGAATCTGGACGTATAAATTAGGATGTACAGATCTGGACGTATAGACTGGGACGTATGGATTACCATGTATAGATTATGATGTATGAATTAGGATGTATAGATTAGGACGTATAGATTGGAACGTATAGCTTGGGACGTACAGATTTGGACGTACAGAGATTAGGACGTATAGATTAGGACGTATAGATTTGGACGTATGGATTAGAACGTATAGATTTAGATGTATGGATTAGGACGTACAGATTTCGTCGTATAGATTATGACGTATGCATTAGGACGTATAGATTAGGGCGTATAGATTTGGACGTATGGATTAGAACGTATAGATTTGGATGTATGGATTAGGACGTACAGATTTGGACGTATAGATTTGGACGTATAGATTTGGACGTACAGATTACGACGTATAGATTTGGGCGCAAGGATTAGGAAGTACAGATTTGGACGGCTACATTTGAACGTATAGATTGGGACGTATGAATCTAGACGTATAAATTAGGACGTACAGATTTGGACGTATAGATCTGGACGTATGGACTCGGGCGTATGGATTACGACGTATAGATTAGGATGTATGAATTAGGACGTATAGAGTAGGACGTATATATTAGGATGTATAGATTAGGACGTATATATTAGGACGTATAGATTGGGACGTACAGATTTGAATTTACAGAGATTGGGATGTCTGGATTAGGACGTATAGATTGGAACGTACAGATTTGGACGTATAGAGATTAGGACATAGAGATTCGGACGTACACAGATTAGGACGTATATATTAGGACATATAGATTGGGGCTTATAGATCTGGACGTATATATTACGATGTATAGATTAGGACGTATAGGTTTTGACGTACATATTTGGAGGTTAGGTAGGAAGCTAGTTTATTCATATATATATCATTGTCATCTATCGTCATCATTTATATAATTTTGATCATTTCTATAATTTTGATCATTTCTATATCTCTTTTCTTTTCACTGTTCTCGTTGGTTAAATTTTTCGACGAATAAATTTTCTTTCCCGTTCTCTATTATGTCTAAAGTGAACTAGTAGCTAAATCTGCAATTATTCTTGAACTTTATGGTTTTTGCTCTTATATCCCAACTTTTTGTGAATAAATTTGTGTATATTTATCGTACTTCACTTTTTGTATAGACATTTTTTGCTTGTGACACTTTTTGGCTGTGTAAGAAATGTATATATATATACGCTGTTTACTTTTGGTGAAAACATGCTCGCGGGATTAGCCGGGACGGGACTGAAAAAATTTTAGCGGGACGCGGGCCGGGACGGGACTGGAAATATCTAGGCGGGACGGGACACAGTCTTTGAACCAATCCCGGCGGGCCTTGCCGGGACAGTTTTTGATTGTCCCGCCGGTCTCTGGTACCAATCGCCATTGATTATACTTGATGCGTACTATGAGCCGTGAATGTACTATTGAAAGAATAAATAGTGCTAACTTTAGCATTTAGCGATAAAAGTGTTGGAGTAGAGCCCATCAGGTTGATCTTGAACCCGGTCGAGTCCGGTTCAGATTCAGAATTGAAAATTCTCTTTGTTCAGATCGGATCATAAAATTTTGTGTTGACCGAGTTCGGGCTTCAGTTGGAAAATTTTAGACTTAATGGGGCCTATTTAAGAAAAAGAACCAATTGTAGCTTGATTATTGTGAGACCATCGACAATATTGCCTGAGAAATGTGTATGTTATGCTAGTCGCCAATAAAAATCAACGAAAAAAGTATCGTGTATTTGCTGAGCAACAGTCAGATTAATTTATAAAAATCTTTATTGAAAGGATTAAGACTACTATTCATATTGTGAATCTGGATCTGACAAGTTTGGACCGGAATGGCTCTGGTCAGGGGTCGAAAGACAATGTTCTGGAGCGGAATCACTTATACAAAAAGACGAACTAACATCAATTTAGAATAACTAGATCATATTTTAGTAGTACAATACATGTAAAAGTATAAAAGATTTTTTAATGAATACGTGCTTTATTTTTTGGGTATAATACTTTTTTTCTACTTGTAACGCTTACGTTATTGACACACCAACTCATTGTTTTACTACTTTGTTCATTGTTGATATTATGTTTTGTGTGAATCTAATAATGATAATGAAATACATAACTTTCGCGACTTCTTTCATATGCATTTTTTTTACTAAGTAATGTGTGTTATTGGAAAACTGACTAACTGTGTTTGTCCTACTTAATATCCTGTCCCGTCTTGTCCTGCGCGGCAGAACAGGGCAAGAAGTCATTTTTCGTCCTGCCCTGCCACTCAGTAGGACAACGATGGTAGAGCGGCAGGACAGAACAGGACAGAAAAAGTTGTCCTGTGCTCATCTCTGTTTCATTTCTACGATTAATCTCTTTATTGATCATCAAAATATAATCATTGACTACATTCTTACACAACAGGATAAATATTTCATAGAAATGATGATTTTTATTCATATCTTCATGTTTAGTCGATGGATAGACAAACAAGTAGCGCTCATCTTGCAGATTCGCTGACCCTTTTCTGAAAGAATAATAATTTATTGTGAATTAAAAGTAATTATATTCCGAAAAAATCACTTCCTCATCACAACTACTGAATTATTAATGCTTGAGCTTGTTACATGCTTTGAAAAGCTCCTATAGATATTTGGCTGAATACGAGCGCATATAACGATACAGTTGTCAAGCCTTTCGGTTTTTATTGATCATATCTATATCAATGATCATGTTCATTGATATTTTCCGTATAAGTAACGCATTTATGTAGTATAAAGTTAGAAATCATTGTTAATTATTAATATATACAGTATAACACTCGATAAAATAGAGGTGGTATCCATTTCGTAAGTGTGTGTTCATTGATGTCAAATCTTTCTTTGTTGAACCATCGATATTTATTTGTCCATCTGAGTTAATTAAGCAAAAATGGTTAATTAAAATATCAATGTTTGTCAAGCGAGGTCAGTCTGTTTCCGCTCAATAATTCGTACAAGGAAACTGTGCTTTGCAAAAAAAAACAGTAATATTACTTGCTCTATCGGTAACATACGATATTTCTTATATTAATATCCTACAAAAAAAGAATCGGGAGGCCTCAAGCTTCAAAGCACTTTGAAACCTATATTCGCTAACATGATTTTTTGGAAAAATAACGAATAAAATTTTTTTCTGATCCTGTGTTTTTATTTCGCGTAAGTACATTTAAAACAAGAATGTCATTATAATTTGTCTTTTACAACTACACATAAAACAAAATGAAAGTATATTTGTTGCCCTTCGTTTGACATATACAGATGTGTAAATATTGAATTGTTGATAAGGACGTAATATATATCTCAGCAAACTCTTTATTTAGTTGATGGTGATAGTGCCGACGCCTTTTTTATTGTTGGTTGAGATGATAGAGAAGGAGCAAGAAGAGCTAAATTGAATGGTGGTTGTGGTGCTGGTCTCGTTTTTGGTATTGAATGAGACGATGGAGAGGAAGCAGAAGGGACTGCATTGAATGGTAGTGGTGGTGCTGACCCTTTTTTTGATATTGATGGAAAGAGATCAGAATGAACTATATTGAATGGAGGTAGTGGTGCTGGTCTCTTTTTTAGTTTTGGTTGAGACAATATGGAAGGAGCTAGTGTCGGTGTATTGTGATCATCATCTTCTTGAATATTCAATCCAGGACTAAAATCGTCACAAATTCTATTCATCCAAGACATTGCATCTAATTTAATTAATGTAATTCGACAACCATTACGTTGATACTAAACAGAGTAGTGTTTTTATTTTAGTCTTCAAACAAATTTTTTAAATCTTAATTGAACAACGTTTTGGTCGAATTTTTCCTGGTAAGCGTGCAACTGATATTGAATACAAATTTTGTTTGAACATTTATCGCAAATACGAATGATCTAAATTTTCTTTTTAGGAATAATTTCTCTATTTTCTAACACTTACTGATTGTGAAAAGCGAGTACTTTTACATGTCCATTTGATGGAATAAATTTTAAAAAATTTCGAAATGATCTTTTTAGTTGTAACTCTGGGATATCTAGATATACAAGTACTTTATATGAATCTTCCTCTTGCACGACAACTACAAGAAAAATTTTAAAGGCGACTACACGTTTCATAGTAATTTTTGACCCAAGATTAGGACATACATAGAGTTGTAGAGAAAAAAATTCTCTATCCAGTGGTGTACTTATTATGAAATTCTACTGTGCACCGTGGGAGAAAAACACACTAAAAGTATGGATTTAACAGCTTTTAATGAAGGTTTTCTAAACGAAAGTCAAACAGTATAAGATGAGCAGAAGATTTATTCGGATTATGAAGGTATATGTGTCGTTTGATAGCTTAAATACCTTTGCTTCTATAGTTCATGCCTCTGTCCTTGATACTCAAACTACGTTGCATCTTAGAATATTTTAAAGAACATACGTCTTCATG